GGATTGTGATAAGAGTCATATGAGCCCCTAAAAAATGATTTAAAAAAATTAATGAGTCCTTAAATACAAAGCTCATCTTTTACCCTTAGTGTGCCAGTAAGGTACGTAACCAGTCAAAACCAGATAATTAGATCTATAAGCATATACATTATTTTTATCATTTTAAAACTATGTAAGGGAATATAATTCAGCCAAAATATAATTGGATTCACTTAAGGAAAGGCTGGTCACTAACACCTTTCAGCCAATATGCCAGATGAATACCAATTTTGCTAGAAAGTTATACTTAAAAAGAACTACCCTTAAAAGAATCATTATTCTGTAACATAAATTATATTGAAATACTCAAGATTTCATAAGAACAAAGGAAAAATGTCCATGTAGGACAGTCTTCATTACACACATGATCATTTGATGGTAGTAAAAGATTCACAGGAATATTAATGTGAAATACATCTTAAGAGCCCAAGTTAAATTAAAACCTGAGACCATTTTGTACGTCCCCTAACAATAAACAGGTTCTAAACAGGTTTAATGAAGCAAAACATTCATCACTAACCTAGTAACAAACTGACTTTTATAAGAAATAAACGGTAACATGAATATTTTTGCTATAGCAATTAAATGATTTTCACAGTTCCTTATTGCCATTTCAAATTCAAATACTTACAGATGCTAACCCATACAGGAAAAAAAGCAGAAACACCACGAAGCAGCTACTTTGAGGGAATAATGAAGAGGCTGTTGCAATGACTGCCATAAGCAGGGACATGAGAAAAATCAAACTCGTATACAGAAGGACCCAGGAAAGCCTAAAATGAGAATACCAGTACATTTGTGGTCAAATGCATTCAGTTAAAAACTTATTTAAAATCACTTAACAAGAAGGGAAAGAAACCTTCAGCTTTCTTTTAGCCATTTCATTCTTACTCTTAATTTAATCTATTTCCTCTATGTTTCCAAAAACTCAATGCCATCAGGTTGATTCCTGACTCACAGTGACCCTATAGGGCAGGGCACAATTACTCCTCTGGGTTTCAGAGACTATAAACTGTTTATAGGAGCAGAAAGCCTTATCTTGCTCCCTTTGAGCAGGTTGGTGGTAGCAGCCCTGACCTTGCTGTTAGCAGCCCAACACTTAATCACTAAGCCACCAGGGATCTTGCTTCTCATTCTCTCACTGCCATCATGTCAATGTTGACTCATTGGCCACCCCCTGTAAGTTTCTGAGACTACAACTGTTTTATGGAAGAAGAAAGCTCAGTCCTTTTCCCCAGGAGCTGCTGGTGGTTTTAAACTGCAGATCATGCAGCCCTGCAGCCCAATACATTTAGGTATTGAAAATATTCCTCATAAGTAAAGGAAATACATTATTGGCTCAACTTCAAGTAAGTGTAATCTAATATGGAAATGGCACCCCATTAGACTCTACTAGAAAACACTCCTAAAGGTCAACAAACAGACCTAGAATTATTTACAGGTTTTCTTTTTAGGGGGGATTGGTTTTTTTGTTGTTGTTTTCTTTTCTTTTGTTGCTTTGTTTTGCCCTGTCTTGTTTTTGTGCATATTATTATCTCTGCAGTCTATCTAGATAAGATAGGCTGGATAAACAATCTGGAGGAGAAAACAACAGGAGGGGTGGGGG